TTCAATCTCAATGGAAACTTACTTGCAGCTTGCCTTATTTGGAAGTTTGTTGCCCCTGTTGTGTTATGTCCTGTCAGTTATGAAGTGGAACTCCAGTGGAAAGGCCAGGAAGTGTTATAAAGTATTACAGGAAAGTGAAGTTCCAGTCAACAATTTTTGATTTTTTCCAATGATGCTAACAAATTTTCTTTCTCCACAAGAAATCACAATCCACTCGAGTGTGGCTTTCAACCCCCTTTTGAGGATAGAACTCTTTGTTCATGGTATTTGATACATCTCGGCTCCTTGCTATCAATTGCACAAATTTGAAAGCAGAAACTGTGCTTTCACTGATGCTTGTAGAGTGACAGCATCATTATTCAACACTACATTTGTAGTTATCATGCCAAAATTTAGTGTCACAAAGGCTAAGTGTGAGAATAATAAGTACGAAACTGAAAAATATACTTTCATAGAATGGCTATACTTTGAGCACCTTTTTTATCTGTATTTTAGCCAACATAAATGCCTGAACTTTTGAGCTATAGTGATAAACCTGCAGTCTTTTTCTGTGCAATTTTTTTCTTTATATTTACAATTATTACTACCATCTTCATCCTAATATGAATCATTCTTTCGGAGCCTCCTCTCACAATAGTTTGTTTTTCAGTTTTGTGTTGGATTTTGTCTTGAGTTTCTTCAATCTGATGCCCACTCAGGACATCCTGTTCTGTGAATTCTGAATGTTCTTCCTGCTGCACTGACAATGGCATCTGCTTCTTTAAGAACCATTAACTGGAAATTTTGCATAATGTGATCAAGAATGTGAATTCTTCGTTGTGAATCTCATAGATCCTCCACACCTCAAGAAAATCTGTATCTATTTCCAATCACTTTCACAATACATTTTGTTAACTAGTGCCATTCACTCAAGATCTCCTTTTATCTGCCCATTCAAAACTTTGGACCTAGAGTGACAGGCACAACTGTGGTGAGTGCCAAGAAACATCCAGAAATATAATTAGGTATTATAGATACATATAGTTTTATCATCACCTTGCAGCTTATTGCTATGTCAGTATTGGTTTCTTGTCAAAGAAAAGTAATGTAAGCATTTACCCCAAAGCTACTAATTTTCTGCAAATGAGAGATCCTAAGCATAATTTATTATTAGTTTAGGTCATAATGAGTGGATTTATCTGCTTTAATAATATATTATACAAGTACACAGTGAAATTGTGCACAAAAAATCACGTATGGCATAGTTTAATATTTTATTAAAATTTGGATGAATAATGTATTATTGAGCATATTGTGAATTATTGTTCAGTTAATTTAATTAATATACAAATTATTTGAGTTTGAAATTTAAAAAGACTTATGAAATAGTATCCCAATTTTCTTCTCTGAATCATTAACTTATTTTCTTTTGCAATCGCAATGAAGTGTGTGAAATTTTTTGATGTTATCAATCTCCTATTGCTCTTTATCTTATTCTAGGAAAAACTTGTTTCAATTAGTAGCTAATTAGTGCAAATGCACAAGATTTGATTAGATATGTCTGTGTGCTTGAAAAATATGTTCACTTTATTCTAGACTACGTTAATGTTTCCAGGTACAAAATTCAATGTGGAATTTTTTTATTTTATCCCGAAGGCTCATCTTTGGTCAGCATAACTTCCAGGGGCCTGGTGAATTTTAATTTTGACTTTCCTAATTTCTTCCAGAGCATTTTCAAGATATATCACGTTATTATTAATAAGGCCTTTCTTTTTCATTTGCATTTTTGGTATGGCAAAAATTACGTGGTTAATTTGTCACAACATAATATCTCAACCAAACAATTAAGTGTTAAAATATCAGTTCCGCCCCTCAGTTAAGGGATACCCAGAAGCATAAAAAAATTATTATAATAACAATAACAATAATAATAATAATAGTCGTCATCATCGTAAATACTGGACTTTTAGCCCAGCATAAGTTTGATGACGGTATAGTTAGATGAAGTTAGCACCAGTAGTAAATTTTCACCAAAGAATTGACCGTCGCTGAAAAGTCTGTCATATCAAATGAAAACTGAAAAACTACGTGTATCGGGCGCCCCAAAAAACGTCTAATTGCAATTTCAATGCCAATGACTTAGCTTCTCCTTCACAAAGTTAATTTTTGATGTCAATGGCAAAAAATTCGAAACAACACAGCACATGCAACAATCATTTTAGTCAAACTGTCAATACCACCGGGAACGTGTACTTTCCAACTCGACGTAATTCATCAGGAATGACATAGAAAAAACGTGGTTTAAACGCTCGAATCTCTTCCTTTCTAGGGAATAAATTAATTCTTTGAATACAAACAATATCTTGTAATTTCTACGTTACACGGTGATATAAAATGTATTATGAAAAATAATTATTAAAAAAGTTCCAAATCTTAAAACTTGATTAATGAAAATGGCCACGAGGCCGTATACTACAAACTAAAATCGGACTATGGAATATTCACCCAGCAATTTTTAAGTAGCCGCGCACTTTTCGATTATTGCATTTTAAGATTGTCTTTGTGTATCTACTCGTATTCAAATAAAAACGTTACGAGTAAACGTTTTCTTAAAGGTTTCACAATACGCATTTTTCCAGTCTATAGATATTAATTTTCCCCAACTCACGCACTTATTCTTGCATTTATTGATTTTTCACTTCATGTCAAAGTCGTTTTTGCTACGACCTAGCTAAGCACGTCGTTTGGAAGCACAATCCAATTGCCACGACACTAAATTTGTTCACATTTGTGGGGGAAGCCCCGATGTGACGTGTCGGATTTGAGGCTATACAAGTCACGTGTAAGAATTTATCAGAGTTACCAACGTTCGATTGTGATTTGACGTCATGTTATCATCGAACATAAGGGAGTTTGTGCCAGCTTTCTTGTCAGCACTATCGATCTTCTGCGCATGCGCAGATGCACGAAAATGGTGTGAAACTTTAACTGCGCATGAGCAGAAGATCAATAGTCGTTTACGTTCGAGGTGGCAAAAACTCCCTATTTTCTGGAGATCCGTTAATCCCTTCCCTCTCCTTTACCAACAATAGTTGAATTACAAAGAACACCGTTGAAAACATTTGAAGACTTCCATAATCGTAAAAGAAAGTTTTTACGTAAGAAAACAAGCCACAGATTTTGATGTAATATACTGCCGTTGAAATACATGCCCCCCCCGTTCTGCTTGTGTAAAGAAATTACTGTTAACTTATAAATAAATTGCTAACATTGCATTCGAATAAAGAAGAAAACAAGAAAATGTCGGGGAACTTTTTATTCCCGTGTTTGCAATTTTTAACTTTATTCATAATTCGTATAAAATTGCTTAGCTTAATTACCAATTAATTCAAATGTCAAATCAGTAAAAAGTTATGAAAAGAGGCCTGCTTTAATAATAATAATAATAATAATAATAATAATAATAATAACATCAAATAATGAAATAGATCTAAACACAAAAATATTTTGATAAACATGCAGAAAGCGGTAATAATTACATAGATGTTCTTCTTTTGGTTAGACAGAATTATGGGGTTAGACTTATAAAACTATTGTTGAAAATTTTAGATACAATTCAAAGTTTAAATTTTATAAATGTTGTGTAATAATGTGTGGCTTGGTACTCGTGTTGTGTAAGTGCTGTGTGAAATGTAAGCGCTATTTAGTAACTTTAAGTAATAAGTGATCATGACATGCTTTGTATGTATTGTGTGTATTACTGTAATTCAGAAAGCTGTGATAATAATAATAATAATAA